TGGAGTGGAAGCTGAAATATTCAGCATGAGACAGTCAGTCAGATGAGAAAGTTTCCCTTTGGTTATAGACTCAAAACTATTCAAGGACTGCAGCTTAGTGTTGCCAGATTGTAGAGAAAATTAAAACCTGAAAACATTTTTAGGAATTCCAAGTCCTAAATGTCAACATATTGTGTATAAAGCTCAGAAGTAATTTTTAATGCAGTGGTGGGTATAGCTAGCTCACCAATCCACTAACAAAAAAATTAGCTTTGCAAATGCTAAAGTAAAGGTAAAAAAAAAAACAATACTCGAAGCTAACGCTAACTGATAACGCTAACTCAGGAATGGGCAACTTAAAAGATGGAAGGGGCCGCCGTTCTTTGTTGACACTGTGAGGGCCACATAGCTCTTCAAATGTAATAAAACTGTTTATACACCTAACACATTTCATGCTCAAATGCATGTATAATAGTTGTATTTTCATTTAATAAATATAAATACAAAATGTTTAAAGCAGACAAAAAATAAACACTTACTTTAGCGAGCTAAAGTGCAACGGCAAGACTCCTTGAGTGCAGGCTCCTGGTTGTGGTTCTGGTAAAAAAAAAATGCTGTTGTTTATATACGTGCGACTTCAGTAAATTTCTCATATTTAGCTTTGTGCAACGTGTTGTTGTGACCTATATTAACATCCTTCGTGGCTGTCAGCATCTTTAAGAGGAACAAAGGTTTGCCTTGAAATTATGTGAACTGATTGTTTAGCTCCCATTTCACCTGAAACATGTGATTATCTCCTTTAAAAAGAGCTGTTTTGAGGCCTTTTTTGAAGTAAAAAAAAATTAAGAATGGGATGGCCCACTGGCTGCTAATTGGTTACAAAGTTAGCAAAAAGTGCTAATCCACTAAATGAAAAGTTAGCTCCGCAATTAGCTGTTAGCAGATTAGCAGAACTGTGCCCACCACAGATGGAAGGCATCTCAATTGTCACTTCTCATTTCAGAGTTTTACAGTCAGTTATATTGAGAAATGACAGAGTTGAAGCTGCTTTTATAAAACTCTTACAATAATTTTACGACATCATGTGACGTTACTAGACGTCACACTCAAAATATGTGTTTGAATAACTTTCAGCTACTGTCAAATTTTAGCTTAATGTCCACAAAATAGACTGAGTTATTGTTTTTTTTTGTGTTGGTCATCTGTGGAGGCCATCTTGACACCAAATTATAACCAGCTGAAGCTGTGCATTCAATGATATTAAATACACTACAAAAACTGTCCAACTAACCAAGTTTTAAAATCTTATATCAGCCAAAAAGTCTTTTTGATCTTGTTTTGAGACTGATTTATTAAACAAGAACTGATTGTGTAAGAATAATCATCTTGTTTTCAGAATGTGTAAGATTATTTGTCTTGTTAGACTGAAAATTTGACGCAAATGAAGTCAAAAATTTCTGCCAATGGAGTAAGAAAACTTTACTTGGTAAGATTCTTAAATAGATTTAGTTCAATTTTTTTCTTATTTCAAGAATCTTAACCAAGTAAAATTTTCTAACTCCATTGGCAGAAATTTTTGACTTCATTTGCGTCAAATTTTCAGTCTAACAAGACAAATAATCTTACACATTCTGAAAACAAGATGATTATTCTTATGGTGCGTTCACACCGAACGCGATTTCAGCTTCAAAATCGCAGCCAACGCTGAAGTCTGAAGCTTGTGCACTTTGAGGTCAGACGCAGGACAGTTGTTGAAGCGCCGCACGGCGACAGCCGCCCCGCCCCTCCCTCCTCTGTCGGGCTCCGTTTAATGTCGGACGAGGAAGTGGCTTTGCTTTATTTACAGACAGCCAGAACGTGTCACGTTCATCAGATAATTAATTCATAATTAATTCACCAGATAATTCAGAGAAGAGGCTCACAGCTGCTTTCAGGACTATTTTTTTCAGTCTGATGAGTCGCTGTCACGCATTGCTGCGGATCAGGACACGACTGCAGGCACTCATTTTAGCTAAAGAGCAGGAGCTCTGTCTGTTTCAGGTTAGTGGACCTCATTCAGTAAACTGTCCCGTCGGGAAATATGTCGCTACGTCACACAGTGGAGTCTCTCTGATTGGTTGACGCTGCGCGTCGAGCTGCAAAAGTTCAGATTTCCCAACTTCAGCGATTTGGACGATTTGGACGATCTGAGTGTTCGACGCTCAGATCGTCCAAATCGTTCAAATCGCGCTGCTCTAATCGCGCTTGAGGCGCCGCAGAACTTCCCGACGTTGCTTGAAGCGCGTCCACCATAGACTTTGCATGTAAACCTGCTGCTCCTGACGCTGAAATCGCGTTTGGTGTGAACGCACCATAACACAAACAGTTCTTGTTTAGTAAATCAGTCTCAAAACAAGATCAAAAAGACTTTTTGGCTGGATATAAGATTTTAAAACTTGGTAAGATGGTCAGTTTTTGCAGTGTGCAGTGTAAAGATGAAGTCTATCAAAATGCCATTCCAGTAAACCTCCACTTCTAGTGACTAATTCAAATTAGTTTCAGCTGTCTTTTCTTTTTTGTTTTTGCAAAAATCCCATTGTCATTTGTGGAGAATTTTCCCAGTTGTTTGCACATTTTGTCTTCACTGTACTGCTACTAAGAGTCATTGCACACTAATCTTAATCAGACCTCATACTTTCTATGTTTTGGGTTTGTCCAAAGCTCCAGAAAGGATGAAGAATCTAACATTGTGACAGAAACCCAAAACATTTGGCATCAACAGCCTGATAATAGAACTTCTCTAAAACCTGAGCCTGACAGTTCTCTGTTTAGTTTCAATACAAGTTGCTTTAAAGTGTATCAGTAAAGTAAAAACCCTCTGCTCCCGCAGGACTACACCTTGACCATGTACTTCCAACAAGCATGGCGGGACAAGCGCCTCTCCTACTCTGAGATCGCCTACAACCTGACTCTGGATAACCGGGTGGCCGACCAGCTGTGGGTCCCTGACACCTACTTCCTCAACGACAAGAAGTCCTTCGTTCACGGCGTCACAGTCAAGAACCGCATGATCCGGCTCCACCCTGACGGGACGGTGCTTTATGGACTCCGGTGAGCCTAAAACAATCTGTTACAAACATTTACACACACTCTGCTAGGAGTTCTCTCTCTCTCTCTCTCTGATATATTCATAAATTTTATTTGTGATTAAGGAGATATTTATCAACAGCGACGTCTCAAGTCAACCCTCTGAAACTGTGCGAGCAAACACTTCTCAGGCGTTTGGGATTAGTCCAGGCCCATCATCAGGTGTTGCATTCTGTGACGCTCAGCAAGTCTGAAAACACCTAAACCAGGCGAGGAATTTCATGAGCAGGAAGTGTGTTATTGTTGGAGGACGAGTTCAAGAAAAATGGCTTTTGAGAGAATTTGAACATCTGCCACCAAATCTGGAAAGTGAACATGAGCCTTTGTTAACACGCTGCTCTCACACTCTGACATGTCAACAAATAAATGTTGATGAGACACTACAACATTTCTCAGTTTCAAAGTGTACCATTGTGTTAAAGACGTGAGGATTGTGACTGTACGGCTGTTTTAATCAAACATTAGTTCACATTTTCTAGCAGTGGGCTTCTGTGGAGAAGTTATGAACAACTAATATCCCACCTGTTGTAGATACGTAGCTCTTTGACACTTTCAGTTTGGACAAATACAGTTTTATTCTAATTTGACTGACTCACTAACGACACAGATCAAGTTGTAAACATGTTTGAGTACAATTTTACTTGTTATCTTATGCGCTGTACTATTGACAGTACTTTGTGCCAAAAATGAATCAGTCAGTCAGCAGTAAGTACAAGAAGAGCCAAGACCAAAGTGATTTGTTGTTGTCTTAAAGCAGCTCCAATTCAAAGAACATTCATGCCAGTTTATGTGAACGCTAATTTAGAAAGCCTTTAGCACCCAGTCAGTCTCACATTACACAGTTACTCCAGCAGAAAATGCAATTTTCCTGCAGGAAGTGCTCTAGGCTACACTGAAAGTGCTACAGCTAGCTGCTGCTACTATTATGCTCGGAAACGACCATAGAATCAAGAGCTGCATGATAGATCGTTTGAGCAGTAATCACATTACCATCCTTCTGTGTTTGTCTGTGTCTCTTTCCTGTCCCCACAAACCCAGTCGGTCCAGGCAGATGGCCATCTGTCCTGAAGCCGGGTTCCAAACAAACGCGTTTTGAGCAGCAAAAAATGCGCCCAAGGCCTCAAGTTGGACGCACTGAATCGCAATTGGTGTGAATGCAGCAGCAGAATAGACGTGTGTCTGAAGAGGGAGCGTCTTGTTTTTGTTCCGGTCTGTCTTTAACGATGGGTGAAATAAAGACAAAATAAAGAAAATGGCTTTATTTTATTTATTAAAGAGCAAGCGAACGTTGCGCACACCAGATAATTAATTCACCAGATAATTTAAAGGTGGTTTGTTCAGTTAGTTTCACCACTCCAGGACAAACTTCTTTTTTTGTCCTGAGCCCAGTTTAACACCACGGTCAGTTTAACGAGCTGCAGACCCACATCGGTGCTGGTATCTCCAGCCAGAACACCAACTGCAGATGGTCGATTTCAAAGAGCTCCTATCTGTCTGTTTCGGATTCAGGAAACCGTGACGTGGAAAAATGATTCTCCCTGATTGGTTGCTGCGGCGCGTCGAGCAGTGAAATTTCAGTTTTTTGAACTCGAGCAGCGGCTGCTTTGGACGCTCCGCATGCACAGAAAACGCTCTGTCGCATCCTACCGCTACCTTGAGCACCGCACTGAACTGGCAAAATGCGCCACGCTGCTCTTAGGCTACGTTCACACTGCAGGCAAATCCGACCCAAATCCGATTTTTTTGACCCATCTGACTCATATCCGATTTTTTTATGACAGTCTGAACGAGACAAATCTGATTTTTTCAAATCCGACCCAGACCGTTTCAGTATGTGGTTTTAAATCAGATACATATCTGATGTTTTCAAAGTGACTGCAGTGTGAACGCTCATGTCACATTCATCTGACTTTTTCATCAGGAGGAGGGGGTGAAGGARCGATAAGACACTAACCTCAAGTCTCACTGTTTAAATCTGTAGCTCCATGTGTTTATAGCTCCAAAACTCAAGTCCAGTTGCTTCATCTTTTTACTTTTCATTAGTATGATAATAACATGTCCAGCCTGGGTCGCGGAGAGTATCGATCCTAAAGTTCGATACTTGGTCGATACTTTTTTCCAGCTCGTAGTTTCGTTCAAAAAAAAATTCACTGGAGCATCCCGGTCAGAGGCAGCTTCAGATATAAACACTAACTAAAGAATATGGCAGATAATTATTTAATTGGCTCTGATTAAACAACAACTTCAGATTCGATGTGCAAAATGTAGCAGCCATGCTAGCTCTGTAAACAAACAAGCCGGCTGATGAGACGTCACGTCTTTTACTGCGCATGCGTGTCACATCAGTGCTGTGTAGCGTTCACACAGGGGTCTGATACAGGTCACATTTAAAATGTAATGTGAACGTTCACACAAAAAGATCAGATTTTTTCAAAAAATCGGAACTGAGCATTAAGACCTGCAGTGTGAACGTAGCCCTAGATGTGCGTCCACCATAGACTTTGCTTGTAAACTGGCTGTTTTGGCTGCTCAAAACGTGTCCGGTGTGTACCCGGCTTTAAAGGGGAGTTTTCCTCTTTAATGTCACCAATGTGCTGCTCAGGATGGGAGACTTTGATGAAGTGAAGATTCAACACAATCTGCTGGCTTCTTTAGATTTATTGTTTTTTTTTTTAATGTACAGTGCCCTGAGACAATGTTTGTTGTGACTTGGCGCTATATAAATAAATTGAATTGAATTGCAGGTGGTGTATTAAACCAACACATCATATAGGGATTAAATGGTCGCATGTTACAACTTTTATTTTTGGAAGTGGTTAGCTTCATGCCAGAAAAGCTAAAATGTTAATTTGTTGTGAAACCTCTGGGACAGTAATGCTTTTCAGAGAATTATTGGTGGTGGTGAATTCCCCATCTGTGGAGGAAGATGATGGGGATCTTGATGAAAACAAGGAAGATGTCCAAAACTTATAGAGAACTGGAGGAAAAGAGGTAAAATTACTGTAAAATTAAAACGTGACGGAAACAGAAACTAAGAAACGTAGATAAAGTGGTAAAGTGAAATTCACATTTAATGATAGGTATGTTTAGGCGGCCATGGTGGAGTGGTTAGGGGAGTCGTCCTGGAACCGGAACGTTGTCGGTTCCATCCCCAGTCCAGCCGTTTCAGTCGTTGAGTCCTTGGGCAAGACACTTAACCCGCCTTGCCTACTGATGGTGGTCAGAGGGTCCGGAGGCGCAGTATGGCAGCCCCACCTCTGTCAGTGTGCCTCAGGGCAGCTGTGGCTACAACGTAGTTTACTATCATCAGTGTGTGAATGGGTGATGCATAAAAATTGTAAAGCATCTTTGAGGGTCTCGAAAATGCATTATTTTTATGTACTCAGGTCCCTGCACAAAAAAGCAAGCAAAAAAAAAAAAAACAAGAATAACTCTTAAATACAGTCAAAAAACATACTTATTATTCATATGTGAATAACCACAAAGTGTTAAATTAACTGCTGTTTTTTTTAAAGACATTAACTTTAGTATTGATGCTGCTTGAGCTAGCCCTGAGCTCTTCGGGTTAAAGCTAATTTATTTTTATCCAAACTGAGGCCATTCAAAGTGCTATCTGCTTTAGGTAAGATATTCACTGTTTATAAAACTCACATAGAACCCCACTTCTAAAGATCTAAACTATGTTGTGTACTGGGGTGTCATGTTTACCATCATTTTGTCCATCTGATGGTTATTTTTGGATCTCCTGCGTCTCGATCACAGTGCTGCTCATCTATCTGTTTCTGTTCACTGACAATCGTCAGTAACTGATCGGTTGCTGTCCATAGTAAAGCAGGTTGTTGCAAATAGGCGAACACAGTGACTGGATGCAGTAGTTTGGCTCGTCTCCTTCCCGGTGCTGGACTGCGATGCCTGTGAGGAGGCTGTCATCCATAATTGATCATTTATAATCAATAATGTAGAGGTTTAATACAAACACTCCATGAGTGTGTTTGTGCTCGCACAGTCGAACACAACCCGTCCATCGTGGTGCCGCTGCCTGCTCTGATCTGTCATCGGCTCTGTTTGTGTGTGTGTGTGTGTGTGTGTGTGTGTGTGTGTGTGTGTGTGTGTGTGTGTGTGTGTGT